TATATTAAACAGGACTATTAACGTGAAATTGGATAAAATAAAATAAAATATTTATAAAAATGTGAATCGACCTATATCTATCCATAAAAAATTTCATTCGTCAGGATGGACGAAAATACATATCGAAGCTATATTCAAATTTAAACCGATTTCAACGAAAAGGTTAGGTTATACTAATTTCAGTACGTTTTGTTTCTATCAGTCAAATATTGGTTCCTTGGTGCGTCAATCACTTAAAATCAATCTATAATATAAGGGAGCTATATCTAAATGAACCGATTTTCACGAAACTTGGCACACATCATTTTGGCGCTCAAGAACCTCAAAATACCGAAAATTTGGGGGTACCCTTATATGGGGGCTATCCGAAAAAATTGACCTTTGTTTATAATTTTTGGTAGAGAGATTTGCTACCCAATAAGAACTCAAAGTACCAAATTTCAGCGAATTCAGTTAAAAAACGCGCTCAAGAACCTCAAAATACCGAAAATTTTGGGGTACCCTTATATGGGAGCTATGCCTAAACGTGGACCGATTTTCTCCAATTTCAATAGGTTTCGTCCTTGGGCCAATTAAGTGACCTGTGCCAAATTTCATCCAAATCGGATCATAAATGTGACCTGTACTTTGTTAACAAAAATACATGGACGGACGGACAGACGGACGGACAGACGGACATGCATAAATCGACTCAGAAAGTGATTCTATGCATATTCTCAAAAGGAACCATGGGTCTATCTCGATTATTTTTGCCTGTTACAAACATATGCACAAAGACATAATACCCTGTACCACAGTGTGGTGAAGGGTATAAAAATCCACGCCTTAGATAGCCCTTGAAAAAATATTCTTTAAAAAATACACGCCTTAGAAAGCCCTTGAAAAAATATTCTTTAAAAAATCCACGCCTTATACTGGCCCTTGAAAAAATATTCTTTAAAAAATCCACGCCTTGGTTTGGATGGCCCTTGAAAAAATATTCTTTAAAAAATCCTCGCCTTGTATGGATGGCCTACCCTTGAAAAAATATTCTTTAAAAAATCCTCGCCTTGTATGGATGGCCTACCCTTGAAAAAATATTCTTGTATGGATGGCCTACCCTTGAAAAAATATTCTTTAAAAAATCCACGCCATGTATGGATGGCCCTTGAAAAAATATTCTTTAAAAAATCCACGCCATGTATGGATGGCCCTTGAAAAAATATTTTTTAAAAAATCCACGCCATGTATGGATGGCCCTTGAAAAAATATTCTTTAAAAAATCCACGCCATGTATGGATGGCCCTTGAAAAAATATTCTTTAAAAAATCCACGCCTTGGTTTGGATGGCCCTTGAAAAAATATTCTTTAAAAAATTCACGCCTTGTATGGATGGCCCTTGAAAAAATACTCTTTAAAAAATCCACGCCTTGGTTTGGATGGCCCTTGAAAAAATATTCTTTAAAAAATCCACGCCTTGTATGGATGGCCCTTGAAAAAATATTCTTTAAAAAATCCACGCCTTGGTTTGGATGGCCCTTGAAAAAATATTCCTTAAAAAGTCCACGCCTTGGTTTGGATGGCCCTTGAAAAAATATTCTTTAAAAAACCCACGCATTGTATGGATGGCCCTTGAAAAAAGTCTTCTTTAAAAATCCACTCCTTGTATGGATAGCCCTTGAAAAAAGTCTTCTTTAAAAAATCCACGCCTTGTATGGATGGCCCTTGAAAAAATATTCTTTAAAAAATCCACGCCTTGTATGGATGGCCCTTGAAAAAATATCCTTTAAAAAATCCACGCCATGTATGGATGGCCCTTGAAAAAATATTCATTAAAAAATCCACGCCTTAGTTAGACCTTGAAAAAATATTAAAAAATCGAAAAATTACTTGCGGAAAACCACTGTGCACCACCGTGAAAAAAATCTATTTTATGACCCAATTAAATAGCAATTTCAATATCCTTTCATTTCATACATGCTTCTGTCAACGGCAGACTCATTTGGAGTGCCTTGGTTATTACGTGTGTAACCCTTACGTGTATCGCCTATGGCATGTTGGCAGAACGTTATTCGGCACAGAAACTACAAACGGTTGTGGAAAATTCACAATATCCGGTATATCAGATACCATTTCCGGCTGTGGGTGTTTGTCCCAATAATCACATTAACTGGAATCGTTTTGAAGCGGCCAAATCTATATTTTTACCACCGAATGCCGATCACAATGTTGTCGAAGTGTTTACAACATTTGTTGGCAACATGGAATCGTTGGCCTTTGGACAATTTCAAAGTTTCAGTGAAATGGATGATGTCAATTTGGAACTGTTGGATGGTATTGATGTTACCAATTTGACCCAATACATGTCGATACGGTGTGAGGACATCTTCGTGAAGGGTCAGTGTTATTGGAGGCGAGTACCCATCAATTGTTGTTCGATGTTTATAATGGAGAAAACGGAACATGGTTATTGTTTTGTATTCAATTCGATATTGTCCAAGGAATCGAGGCAGTTGAGGGTAAGGCGTGAGGAAGGTGGTGGGATTTGAGTGGTGGTAATAATTTTGAATTATTTTCGTTATTGATTGTATAGGAAAAAAGTGGCCACAAATTCTATCCTTTTCATAATTCGAAGGCTGGCCAAGGTTCCGGTTTGGCATTTCAAATTAATTTAAAGAATTCAATGAAGAAGCCAGATTCGAAATTGGATGATACAATAACGGTACGTATATAGAAATTATTATTTAAAACATATAGAGGGTTTTTTTACTAGAGGTGTTTTTTCTAAAATAATAACATAAAAATACCTCTTATTGGAAAACCCATATTTAGATATTTCGAAGAGATGCCATTTCTAATTGGTTTCTATATTTTCTGTCGAAACTTTTCTAGATCCTAATAAAACGTCCAGAACAGTTATCCAACAATGGTTATACCATTTCGGCTGGCACGGAAGCTTATGTTATTGTTCGTCCTGAAATCACCGAAAGTTCCAAGGATATACGACCGTTGAAGCAAGAGCAACGTAATTGTTTCTTTGAAGATGAAAATGCTTTGAAGAATTATCAGGTCTCTCCAAAAGTTGACAAAGAGTTGATTTTGAATAATTGTGTAAATGTCTGTCACGAAGAACATTTAAGGAAATATTGTAACTGCACTCTACCGCAGTTCTTTTTGAGTACAGATCCAACAGGTGAGGTTTTTTTTGCAAATAACTTTAAAAAGAAATAATTGCTTTATTTGAAATCATCTTTCAGTGGAAACCTGCCATCCCTCACAATTTCGTTGCTTGGCCAAACACAATGGTGGGTATCATATTACGTTCTCTAATATGTAGTGTTTATGAATCTCTGTTTATATTTTCTACAGATATTTTCAGTTACGATAAACGTTTGGAGGAAGATGCCTATTTTAGTTCGGCAAAGCCAGGAATGACTTGCTCTTGTTTAATCCCTTGCAATATAATTGAATATTATACATCGCTGACCACTCTGCCCTACAATGGACCAACAAAGTAAGTAACCTAATATAATCAGATATGACCAAAGTCAGACGGGGGCCGGCTACATAAAAATCTGTGTCCACTTTTCGGATACTCACCATTGCGACGGGTTTGAAACATTGAATATTGCTCTTTGAAATTTAATTTTCATGGATGCACCATAGGGATCAGGGTTTTTATGAAATATTTAAATCTCACATATAAGGGTTTTGAGGACGTTGTTTAAGATTCTGTAATAAAAACGTAAAAATGTAAAAGGGTGGATCGAAAACAGGTGTCAAATTTTTTAAAGTTTAAATAATCAAATTATTTTTGACATTAATTACAAATGTGAAATCAGATTTAATGATTAGAAGAAACCAGTGAGCGGAGCAGTATAGTGGGATGGGGCCGACCATACGATACCCTACACAACTACCATGGAACTCTAACTTTCTGCGGATTTTTATTCTGAACCTTATGGAATATTTCAAAGTGATCAGCGCTATATTTCCGTCCTCCAGTGTAGTAATGGGTTACTAAATAATATATGAACACGTAAGCACCTGTAAATATCGAAAATGTCGATAAAATCGGAGAAATGGTCAACGTTGGCCGGCATGTAAGCAGTCGTAACATCGCCCAGGAACTAAAAATCGACCATAAAACTGTTTTAAACCATTTACATAAAGCTGGATTCATGTTTGGGTACAATACCAATTAACAGGACAAAATAGGATTGATCAAATTTCCAAAGAGCGGTGAAGCACCTCAAACGCTGGCCAAACCAGGACTAACGGCCAGAAAGGTTCTGCTATGCATTTGGTGGAATTGGAAGGGGATTATTTATTATGAGTTGCTTCCATATGGCGAAACGCTAAATTCTGATCTCCACTGTCAACAACTGGACCGTTTGAAGATAGCAATTGATCAGAAACCGCCAGTATTGGACAACATGAGAGGTGTCGTGTGCCACCAGGAAACGCTAGGCCACATACATCTACAGTGACTCGCCAGAAACTTCGGGAGCTTGTTGGGAAGTTTTAATACATCCGCCATACAGTCCGGACTTGCCTCCAAACGATCATCAGCTTTTTCTTGCATTGCAAAATTTCTTTAATAATAAAAAAATGGATTTTGTTTAAATAGAGAGCAGGACTTCTATGAGAGAGGCATTATGAAGTTACCTTTAAAATGGGCACAAATCATACAACAAAACGGTGCATATTCCGGACATTCCTGATGAGCTTTTGGTTCACTTTTTCTAGAGCTTCGTCCACAAATGTCACACTTTGAAGACTAAATTTCATTCAAACATGACACACGTAATATTTTTACCAAACCCAGATTAAGTTTGAAAATTAGAAATATCGGTCCAATCCTTCGTGTACCTCCCTTACAAAGTGTCAAAAATTGGAAATCCATCATATCGGTCTACGGACCACTCCATCTAGTAGCTCCACCACCAAGGGTAAAACCTATAAATGTCATATGAAACGATGCTTTGTTTCTGGAATTCCGGGTTTTTGGAGGGTGAATGTATTTGCAGAACATTTTCAATAAAGGTCCGCATTTCCCACCTTTGTGGCTGTAATTTGGCATCGTAGGTTCTTGGAGTTTGAAATCCAAATTTTCTACGTTTTACTAGCTACATATAAATTCCCCGCCCAATTTTCAGTATTTTTAACATTTCAACAATATTTTTCCACCTAAGTGGATCAAATTGTCTTTGCAGAAAATGTTCGAAATTGATCCATTGCTCACATAAAAATTCCATCCCGTTTTCGGTAAATTAAATATATTATCCACATTTTCCCACAACACAAATAAAAACCTATCAGGTATTTTACAATGGCATAGTCCACAGTGACCCCGATAGACTTCGGAAACATGAAATGAACACGACACATGGTGGAAGGTTCGGCCCTGTTGAACTTAACAATGGCTTTTCTTCTTAACACGCCTAGAAGGTTGAGAACTTTTGACGAATGGGTAGTCATGGTTGAGTTTTGTATGTTTTTCGGAAAGTTTTCAGCTATCAGATCGTTTTAAAAGATAGATAGATATTATTGAAGTGTTTATGAGATCTACCTATGGTAAATATTTCAGACAAATCCGACAGCTGTTCATACTCCACTATTGATACGAAAATTATTAATTTTCATAGATATAAGGGTTTCTGGAAAAAAAATCTCATCTAATTGCATTTAGTTCACAGTTCAAGAATTAAAAGACGAAAAGACGCAAAAGGTCTCGAGCTGGTAGGAGGATATGTTTTACAACAATATTCCTCATTCCATTTGGTTGGTAGGCAATAGCCGCAAACAAAGATATACAGTTTTTATACCCTTCACCACACTGTGGTACAGGGTATTATGTCTTTGTGCATATGTTTGTAACAGGCAACACTAATCGAAATAGACCCATGGTTCCTTTCTAGAATATGCATAGAATCACTTTTTACGTCCGTCTGTCTGTCTGTCCATGTTAAATTGTGAACAAAGTACAGGTCGCATTTATGATCCGAATTGGATGAAATTAGGCATAGGTCACTTATTTGGCCCAAGGACGAACCCTATTGAAATTGGGAAAAATCGGTTCAGATTTAGATATAGCTCCCATATATATTTTCGTCCGATTTAAGGTAAATGGTGTACCAATGTCCCTACTTATCTTTCGATTTGCACGAAATTTTGCACAGCGTAATGAATTTTGTCTAGAATGATGTGTGTTAAGTTTCCTGGAAATAGGTCCAGATTTAGAAATAGCACCCATATATATTTTCGTCCGATTTAATGTATATATATACCAATATCCCTATATATCGTTCGATTTGCACGAAATCTGGCATATCGTAATGAATTATGTCTAGAATGATGTGTGTTAAGTTTCCTGGAAATCGGTCCAGATTTAGATATAGCTCCCATACATATTTTCGTCCAATTTAAGGTAAATGGTGTACCAATGTACCTATATATGTTTCGATTTGCACGAAATTCGGCATAGCGCAATGAATTATGTCTAGAATGATGTGTGTTAAGTTTCCTGGAAACTGGTCCAAAATTTGATATAGCTCCTATATATATTTTCGTCCGATTTAAGGTAAATGGTGTAGCAATGTCCCTACGTATCTTTCGATATGCACGAAATTTGGCATAGCGTAATGAATTATGTCTAGAATGATGTGTGCTAAGTTTCGTGGAAATCGCTTCAGATTAAGATATAGCTCCCCTATATATTTTCATCCGATTTAAGGTAATTGGTGCACCAAAGTCCCACCAATTATGTTGCTAAGCTTCGTGAAAAGATCCATAGCTAGGCCGATTGACAACGAACGTACTGATGTAATATAAATTGGCAATTGGATTAAAATCGCTGCGTTTGTTTGTAGAGTGAAGAAAACCAATATTCTGATTAAATGAAAACACAGTCTACCCTATTCGACTACTACCTTTCTTACTTAACTTTAAATTTATATAAATTTTTATTATCGGTTAACTTTTTCCATTAACTTCGTTCATTTCAATTACAGCTCTACAGAGGAACAATTTTATAAAGTCGATGTCCACTACCAATCGGAGGTTGTCATCAAATATCGTACCAGTTTGGAATTTACAAGCATTGACTTAATTGGTAAGCCATATATAAAACTATCAAAACACAGAACCATTAATAAAATTCCATAACCAACCTGTTTAGCTAACTTTGGTGGCGTTTTTGGTCTGTGTTTGGGTGCCTCGATGGTCAGTGCTGTTGAGTTGTTCTATTACCTCACCGTTGGCCTCGCTCTCAATTTGTACGATAATAACTATTATGCCATATTGAAGCAACATATACAAGATTTACGAATGAAATGGATATCCGGCATACGAGAAACACTCAATGAAGAATACGGTAATGGTACTTCCTCGAAGAGGAAAACCTCATTTGTACCGAAACGTCCGCAGCAGAAAGCGAATAAGTGGTGAAGAGGGCTGGGTCAAGGGAATTGAATATCCTATATGAGATATTGATATGTTATATGTGTGTGTGCTATATATGTATGTGTGTATCAAGTATTGTATTAATAAAATAATAAAAGCAATTTAAATTATATTCTAAATTATTATGGTACTGGTACTATATCTACCTTTACCTTTATCCAAGCTATTTAATCAATCTGACATTATATACCATTAAAAGTAATATCTTATCCCTCAACATAGCATAGAGGTGATCGAAAACTACTATATAATTAATGTGAAATCAATGTTCTGGTAGTTATGAAAAATAAACAAATTTATGATAAGGCAATTAACACTTTCGCTTATCAACTAAATCACATCATGATTATGCAAATCGTGTAACTATTATAGCCTTTTCCTATTCAATTTCCCACCCATTTTCTTATCTAATGATAACAATGCCGAATCACAGCAGAAATATCCATTCAATAAATTTTCTATAAATTAGTTCAACAAATCCAAACAACACTACAGTCAGTCGGTGGTAATAATCCATTAAATATCAACTATTTAACGTCGTGGTCGTCCGGATCCTGGAAACGGTACTCGTGTGTGTGTGTGTTTGTGAACTAAACAGTATATGGCTTTATCGGAAACAATACCAATTACCACTACCACGAACATTTTGAACTCACAGAAACAGTCACTGGAAATGACTAATCATCGTGAATCCTTGCAACAGAAAGATCCTTCCTTCTCTGGTGAAACTGTCCTTGGAGAAACAGAAAAAACAAATTGCCCACGTTGCACTAATCGAGGTGTGAGCTATTATATGGCTACTAATCACTCGCCAAAGGGAAAGTAAGTGACGACAGGGCAAATGGGAAATATTAGGGATGATAAAAATTCAATTCAATAAGAAATCTACGCCTGTTATGCGTCCTTGAAAAAAAAATAATTTAAAATATCCACGTCTGCTATGGGTCCTTGGAAAAAACAAATAATTCAAAATATCCACGCCTGCTATGCATCCTTGAAAAAACAAATAATTAAAAATATCCACGCCTGCTATGGGTCCTTGAAAAAAATAATTAAAAATATCCACGCCTGCTATGGGTCCTTGAAAAAAATAATTAAAAATATCCACGCCTGCTATGGGTCCTTGAAAAAAATAATTTAAAAAAACCACGCCTGTTATGGGTCCTAGAAAAAAATAATTTAAATAACCACTCTTGTTATTTAAAAAACCCCGCCTTTTATGGGTCCTTAAAAAAAAATAATTAAAAAAACACGCCTGTTATGGGTCCTTTGGAAAAAATATTATTTAAAAAATCAACGGCTCAGATAGTCCCTTTGGAAAAAATATTATTTAAAAAATCCACGCCTTGTATTGGTCCTTTGGAAAAATTTTATTTAAAAAATCCACGCCTTGTATTGGTCCTTTGGAAAAATTTTATTTAAAAAATCCACGCCTATTATTGGAGCTTTGGAAAATGTTTATTTAAAAAATCCACGCCTATTATTGGAGCTTTGAAAAAATATTATTTAAAAAAATCCACGCCTTGTATTGGTCCTTGAAAAAAATAATTTAAAAAATCCACGCCTTGTATTTGTCCTTGAAAAAAATAATTTAAAAAATCCACGCCTTGTATTTGTCCTTGAAAAAAATAATTTAAAAAATCCACGCCTTGTATTGGTCCTTTGGAAAATTTTTATTTAAAAAATCCACGCCTATTATTGGAGCTTTGAAAAAATATTATTTAAAAAAATCCACGCCTTGTATTGGTCCTTGAAAAAAATATTATTTAAAAAAATCCGCGCCTTGTATTGGTCCTTGAAAAAAATAATTTAAAAAATCCACGCCTTGTATTGGTCCTTGAAAAAAATAATTTAAAAAATCCACGCCTTGGTCCTTGGTCCTTTGGAAAATTTTTATTTAAAAAATCCACGCCTATTATTGGTGCTTTGAAAAAATATTATTTAAAAAAATCCACGCCTTGTATTGGTCCTTTGAAAAAATATTATTTAAAAAATCCAAGCCTTGTTGGTCATTTGAAAAAAATATTATTTAAAAAATCCACGCCTTGTTCGTCCTTTGAAAAAATATTATTTAAAAAATCCACGCCTTGTTGGTCCTTTGAAAAAATATTATTTAAAAAATCCACGCCTTGTTGGTCCTTTGAAAAAATATTATTTAAAAAATCCACGCCTTGTTGGTCCTTTGAAAAAATATTATTTAAAAAATCCACGCCTTGTTGGTCCTTTGAAAAAATATTATTTAAAAAATCCACGCCTTGTTGGTCCTTTGAAAAAATATTATTTAAAAAATCCACGCCTTGTTGGTCCTTTGAAAAAAATATTATTTAAAATCCTTTAGTTTTAAATAAATCCTTTCCATAATATGCATCGTCCTTAAAAATTACACCCTTTGTCTTATTGCCCTTCCTAGCATTTTGCTGATGACAATTAAAGTCCTGTTGATAGCACTTTTTATCGGAAACTTTGAGTTGTGTTTATTCGCTACTTTTCTTCCCATTTCCCTTGCCATTCTCTTTGCAGGTGCTTTCGAGCTTTCATTGTCCTCCTGGCTACTGCATGTGCTGCTTATGTCTGTCTATTGTCTTCGCGTCGCTATTTCCACACTTGGGTACAAACCGTTATTGAACGTACCGATGTTCATGTTTCTGAAATACCATTCCCGGCGGTTACCATTTGTCCAGTGAAAGGTTTAAATTTGTTACGCTTGGAGCAGGAGGCGACAACGTTTCTGGGTGCAACCACAACACAAGAGCAGCAACGACAGCAACAACAACAACAACATGAGCGTATAACGGACAAGGAATTACAGGACTTACACATGTTATTGAACACCCTGAATGAGTTGATGTGGCCGAGCATGAACCATGTAGATGGAGCCACTTCGGATGCGGAAAAAATAATGCAGCATCAAAGTAACCAAACGATGAACGTGATAGAGGAGTTTTTGGAAAGTTTAACGCCCAGCAGTGCCAGCAGTAGGAAAGTACCCAATGTGGTGGCAAATTTAAAAAATATAATCGATTTAGGTGAGCTGATGTCGTTTTTGTCCTTTGAGTGTGAGGATATTTTTGCTGAATGTGTTTGGAGAAGAGTAAAAATGCCGTGTTGTGATTTGTTTCGTAAGGTGCACACGTACAAAGGAATCTGTTATTCATTTAATTCCATACTGGTGGAGGTGGGTTGGTTTCCTTATAAAGGTTTTCTTTGAGGAATATAAAATGTTTTATTCTGCTTCTTTTTAGAATCCAATTCCCTCATGGCCATGGGTGATGGCCGAGTCTGGTTTGCATTCAGGTTTGAGAGTTCATATCAAACGTGGCTCTATTGGACGATATTATGAAAAAGTAGCTGTAAGTAAATTTCGCCCTGATAATTGGAAGATTTCGCCCTGATAATTGAAAAAAATCGCTTAGGCAGTCAGTTAAAAAAATGTTTGACAAATCCTCGCCTTGATACTCCTTTGAAATATATATATTTTTTTTAACAATTCAATCCTTGATAGGCATATGAAAAATAATTTAGACACATCCTTTCCTTTATAGCCCTTTGAAAAAATATTTCTTTAAAGAAACCCACTTCTTTAAAGACCGTTGAAAAATATTTTTGACAAATCCCTGTTTGTTTTTCCTGTTAGTCCTTTTAATTTACAATAATTTCCTTGCAGGTAATGGTTCATGATCCCACCGAATTTGGATCCACAGATGTTACCTACATGGATAGTGAGCGAGTTGTTATTACCGTGAATCCCTTGCGATTTACAGCTGATTATGATATCCATACCTTGAAACCGGAGCTAAGGCATTGTTATTTTACTGTAAGTATAGAATAATTTTGATCAAAGGAATTTCAAAATTGAACTATATATCCTTTTTTAGAATGAATTAAAGCTGCTGGGTAAAGGTCGTGGAAATTGCATACGCAATTGTCGCTTAAAATATATTGAGCGTTATTGTAATTGTACATACTTCTTTCCGGTTGCGATAAAAAGAGATGAATCGTTACCGATTTGTAAGGCACCAAATTTAAAGTGTATTTATTCGCATCGAGGTAAGTAATGTTACTTTTAGTAAAAAACTAACTTCTTTTGGAACAATAGTAAAGAAATAAAGTTAAAAGAAATGAACCCATTAATCAAGATTCTGAAATATTTAATTTTCAAAAATAATTTTCGAAAACGATTTCAAAAATTTGTTGAACTCTACAAGATTTCAACTGACGAAAAAACCCTCAGCCTATCACATATGAACTGTTATTTCGAGGTTGACGTACTAGAAATAGTAGAACGATGGGTCCCATGTTCGACATTGATATAGCTTTGATAAAAATTACGATGTGCAAGGCCTGGATGAAATATGACACTTGGTTTTACTAAGCCGTTTTACTGAGATAAACACTCAGCTTTATGGCTAATGAGCTTTGCAGAAGAACTGCAATGTCATGTATTTCTAAATTCATTAAATTTTTAATAAATTTCAGTACGCTGTGCGAGTCGGTTTAAATTTGATTATTTGTGCTACATTTGCATAAAATCGGACGAAACTGTATATGGGAGTTATATTTCAATCTGAACCGATTCCAACGAAACAAACATCAACTTGGACCTAAATGGTGTCTCAATCGGACATTTATTGGGAGTTTGGTACATCATTCACAAAAAAATCGGACGAAACTATCTATAAGAGCTATATTTAAAGCTGAACCAATTTCAATAGAGTTTGTCCCTGGGCCAAATAAGTGCACTGCGCCAAATTTTATCCAAATCGGATCATAAAAATACATGGACGGACGGGCAGACGGACATGCGTAAATCGACTCAGAAAGTAATTCTATGCATATTCCAAAAGGAACTATTGGTCTATCTCGATTATTTTTGCCTGCTAGAAACATATGCACAAAGACATAATGTCCCAGTATGGTTAAGGGTATAAAATGAATCTTATGATTTAAATGTTCAGGATAGTTCGAATATCGAACAAGTGAAAAAGCCTTAAGTCCGGCCGGGCCGAACTTTGGATACCCTCCACTGACAGGTACTAGAAATGAAAATATAGGGAAAATACAAAAAGTTGACCTATATCGACAAATGTAAAATATAAAAAAATTTTTAATGGTTAATATACCATCAGCTTTATGGCTAAGGAGGGTGACACGGTTAAATCTAGAACCATTTAACTGTGTCAAATTGTATACACCTCATGTTTCTTTGGACCAAATTTGTTTCAGAAAATATTTTTTCTTCCAAACTTAGTTCGAAGATGGGGTATATCGGTTCACTTCTTCTGGTACCTCCCACACAGAAGCTAGGCCTAAATGCGGGTTATAATTCATATATAGTTCATTATCGAACCTTACGTTCTATTTTTTGATGTCGATATCCTCCGCAGGAGAAATGATTACAACAGAGCGTTAGAACCAAATCCAAAACGCGGAACAAATCAGATAACTATTTTAATATAAACAAGTGAAAAAGCGTTAAGTTCGGCCGGGCCGAACTTTGGATACCCTCCACCATAGATATACTGACAGGTACTAGAAATGAAAATATAGGGAACATACCAAAAAGTGGACCTATACCGACATTTCTATGTAAACTATAATTCAAATTTCAGAATTTTTTAATGGATAATTATACCCTTAGCCTTATGGGTAATGAGGGTGTATACAATTTACACCGTGAAAATGTGCCTCATCGAAATATTGGTTCTAGACCCCATGTTTCTTTGGACCAAATCCGTTTCAGAAAATATACATTTCATCCAAACTATGCCAATTTTATTATTATTTCCAAACTTAGTTCAAATTCGAAGATGGGGAATATCGGTCAACTCCTTCTGGTACCTCCCACACAGGGGCTAGGTTTAAATACGGGTTATAGTTTATATATAGTTCATTATCGAACCTTACGTTCTAGTTTTTTATCTCGATATCCTCCACAGGTGATATAGTTACAACAGAGTCTTAGAACCAAATCCAAAACGCGGAACAAATTGCGTAACTGTTTTAATATAAAAAAGGGGTTATATGTGGACTATTAATATTAATAATTTTTGGTGGGGAGATTTCTTATCACATACGACTACAAAATACCAAATTGCAGCGAATTTGGTAGAAAAACGCGCTCAAGAACCCCAAAATACCGAAAATTGGGGGTACCCTTATATGGGGGCTATCCGAAAAAATTGACCTATATTTTTAATTTTTAGTGGAGAAATTTGCTACCCAATAAGAACTCAAAGTACTAAAGTACTGCCAATTCGATAAAAAAATGCGACCAAAACCCCCAAAATACGGAAATTTGGGGGTACCGTTATATGGGAGCTACCAGAAAAAGTGAACCGATATTTATAATTTCTAGTTTAGATATTTGGGACCAATTAAGAACCCAATGTTCCAAATTTCAGAGAATTCGGTTGAAAAACGCGCTCAAGAACCGCAAAATACCGAAAATTGGGGGTACCCTTATATGGGGACTATCCAAAAAAATTGACCTATGTTTATAATTTTTTGTGGAGAGATTTGGTAGCTATTAGGAACTCAAAATACTAAATTACAGCTAATTCGGCGCAAAAATACGTTAAAAACCCCCAAAATACTGAAAATTAGGAGGTACCGTTATATGGGGGCTACCAGAAAAAGTGGACCTATATCCATAATGTCTTCTGGAGACATTTTAGCGAATTCGGTTGAAAAACGCGCTCAAGAACCCCAAAATACCGAAAATATGGGGGGTATCCTTATATGGGAGCTATGCCTAAACGTGGACCGATAAAGCCCATCTTCGAACTTGACCTGCCTGCAGACAATTCCTTCAATTCCTTCAGAAGATAGCGTGATTACAACAGACGGACGGACGGACATGGCGATCGTCTTAGAATTTTACCCTGATCAATAATAAATATACTTTATAGGGTCTGAAATGAATATTTCGATGAGTTACAAACGGAATGCCAAAATTAATATACCCTCCATACTATGGTGGAGGGTATAAAAATGCCCAGGCTCGGAATAATCCGTAGATAGTTATATTGATAGCAGTGGTGTAGTGTATCCTATGGTCGGCCCGTCCGACTATGTGAAAATATCTTAAACGAAAATGTACGGTATAGGTCCATGTGTATTTAAAGTGCCTACAACTATCAACATCCATAAATTGGATTGTATACTGCATTTGTCATTCTTTTTCCAGAACCTAGAAATGTTTACGTATTTGTTAGTATCAACCACAATTTAGTTATCAATTTGTGGCATTTCGGAATTTCAGAAGAATACTAATAGAGAATAATTCCAATATAGTTAAAAATGTTAACATAGTCCACATATAAAGTTCCCTTCAACCTAAGTGTCGGTAGTTTGGCATTTCGTTTTCTCAGTTATAAACAAATTTCTAGCAATGCTGTTCAATATAGGCCCATGTTTTTACATACACCATCTATAATGGTCTCGACGATTGGACATTTTTAAGGTTCACTTAATAATAGTAATAATTATTATTATTTTGTGTTGAAAATTATTATTGACCTTTGGACTTTCTTTTTTATTCGTTTTTTTTCGGCTTGAACTCATTGAAACTTAAAAAGATTTTTGGTTTCTTTTTTATTTTTTTTTATTTTTCCAATAACTTTTTATACCCTACACAACTACGTTGTGAGGGTATTATAGCTTTGTGCAGCCCCAAGAGTTTGTAACGCCGCGAAATATTGGTCCTAGACCCACCTTTAAGTATACCGATCGTCATATTTCGACTAGCTGAGTCGATCTAGACATGTGTGTCCGTACGTCCGTCCGTCTGTCCATTATAATTTGTAAACCCGATGCAGGCCACAGTTATGAACCAATCTTCACGAAATTTTGCATGTAGGATGGGTTCTGGCCAATGAAGACCCCTATTGTTTTTGGAAAAGATCGGTTAATATTTAGGGGATGAAATGGACCAAAAACTTTATTTTTGTCGGTTTTTCTGGTCGCTCCAGAGGCCGCAATTATGGCCCAATCACCGCGGGGTCGGGCCAAACAATAAGCATGCATGTTTTGATAAAGATCGTTCAATATTTAGCGGGTCAAATGGACCCTGACTTTTGTGTGAAAAAATGACAAAATTTATATTCTACAGCGTATATATTTACTTCTGAATGACATAGACCCGAGAAGTTGATGGTATGTCCAAGAGGAGTGGTTGACCTTTAAATTGATACCATATACAGTGGCTCCATCGAATAATCGGACAAGTGGTTGTCAGATATGATAATGCTATATATTAAAAAAAATTGTCTAAATGTGTAGGTTTTTTCGCTTTTATTTACACATTACTTACTTATAATTCTGAACAATACAAAAAACAACAACTTTCCTAGTGATAACAGTAAATTTCGTTAGAAAAACAAAATTAACTCAATTTATTGTGTTCAACGCAAAATCGGACAAAACAAAGTATCAATGTTAAAAAATGCAAAAAGTCGAGAAATTAATATTTAGTTGCATATCCAGAACGGCCTGTAAACACTTCGGTATTGATTTGGCCAAATTCTGGCATACCTCCGGCTCTATGGAGTTCCACGATTCCAGTAAAGCCTCCTTATGCTTTATTAAGGAGTTAAATTTTTTTTCGTACACTCTCCTAGCTAATTCTTCCAAAGATGCACAGTTACGTTAAGGTCTGGGCGCTGTGCAGGTGTTTGTATAAGTTTGGGGCAGTTATGGATTAACCAAAGCTTTGCAACACCTGATGTGTGCTTGGGATCGTTGTCTTCATAAAAGGCAAAGTTGTTCGCGATACCCAATTTGTCTGTACTTTGCATTACATTTTGTTTTAAAATGCTGAGGTAGACAAATTTGTCCATTTTACCATCAATAAAATGCAAATTGCCTACTCCCGCACTCGACATGCAGCCCCAAACCATAACAGAACCTCCTCCGTGCTTAACAGTGGTTTTTGTATTCTTTTGATTAAATACGTACATACATCTTTCCATCTGATCCGTGCAAATTAAATTTAAACATAACCTTAATATAATGAAAACTATCAATAGAAATGTATTTTAAGATGATCTATCACCAAATTACCTGCTTCCAAAAAGCTTCTGGTTTTAGTAAATACTCCTTGGCATATTTTATTCTACTGTTTGGGCTTATAAATGGCTTTTTTCTTGCAACTCTCCCATAATAATCATATTTTTGTAATGTATTGCGAACAGTATTTAGGAACACATATTTTCCAGTGCGAGTTTTTAAATTTATTTTAATTACTTTTGCGATTTTAAATGGATATTGTTTTATTTCTTTTAATATCGAACGCTCTTCTCGCTCATTTAATATCTTCCCTTGACCTTCTCTGCTTTTATTGTTCAATCTGAACTCATCACGGAACCTCTTTATAATGTCGTGGACAGTAGATTTACTCATTCCTCAGGTAAATGGTGCACCAAAGTCCTTGAAAATCATTTGATTTGCACGAATTTTGGCATAGCGTATTGAATTAAGTCTAGAATGACGTGTGCTAAGTTTCGTGAAAATCGGTTCAGATTTAGATATAGCTCCCATATATAGTTTCGCCTGATTTAAGGTAAATTGTGTACCAAAGACCCTATATATCTTTCGATTTGCACGAAATTTGGTATAGCCTACTAAATTAGGTCTAGAATGACGTGTGCTAAGTTTCGTGAAAATCGGTTTAGATTTAGTTATAGCTTCCATATATAGTTTCGCCCGATTTTAGGTAAATGGTGCATCAAAGTCCCAGCTAATATTTTGATTGGCATGAATTTTGGTATAGCGTACTAAATTAAGTCTAGAATGATGTGTGCTAAGTTTCATAAAAATCGGTTCAGATTTAGATATATCGTAGCTTCCATATATAATTTCGACTTATTTATGTTAATTGTACACCAAATAATAAATAGGTGTCTGATTGAGATAAAATTTTAAAACGTGCCGCATACCGAATAGCGTGTGTCAAGTTTGCTTTAAATCGATTTACTGTGCCACTGTGCGCAAACGACTAAACTTGACCAAATGAAATGAAATTTAGCATAGTTTCCAGAAAGACATAAAAATCACATATTTAAGTTCGTTCAATTTCATGCCAAAATTCCTTCAAAAAGGCGACGTCTTTTCGAATATACCCAAAGTGGTGAAGGGTATCATATAGTCGGCTCAGTCCGACTTTACTACTTTCCTTACTGGTTTTTATTTAGTATTACCACTTTCTTGATCTAAATGCAATTTACGAATGAATATGACAAACAAAATACAGATTTGAAGTGCATATTTGCATAATAACGGGACTTTTAGTATTGATATATTGCTTTGTACGATTATGCGTTGAGCACAAGAAATTGGGTTATTTTTGTTTTTCTACTGATATTTACAATTATCGTTAAAAATGTTGTTGTTTTTTCTGTTCGGAGAGTTATGTATGTGAAGTCGAAATAAATTCAAAAAGATCATAATACATTTAGATTAGAAAAACTTTTGTCCGATTATGCGATGGAGCCACTGTATATAGTCGTATGAACTCAGATGTGGGAGTTACACTTAAATATTTACAGGTGTTTAGATATTCAGATATTGTTTAGTAAACCATTACCACACTGGAAGGCGGAAACATAGCGCAGATGACTTTTAAATGTTCCATGAGGTTTCAGTTATGATCAAGGACAACGCCTATAATTTTCGATGATGATCAGATAATAATTTTGGGATGAAGTGGACTGAAAACTTATTTTTGTATTTTTTTCGAGTCGATTTATAGGCCGCAGTTGAAAGCTGAACATCACAACACAACTCACGGAGAAGGGAATCTGGACAAATAATTATAGGAGAGCGCAAATATCGCAAAATATTGCCCAAGCTCAGAATATAGTACCACCGAAAGTTAGATTTTCATGGAAATTTTGTAGGGTATCATATGGTCGGCCCCGTCCGACTATACTGCTCCGCTCACTGGTTTTTTTATATTTCAGACATTATTTGGTCAACGGCAAATGTGATACAAGAAAGCCCCGATGGCATACATTTTCAAACACACGATTGCCAATGCTATCCAAACTGTAATTATATACAATATCGTACAGCCATTAATACCGATCATAGTACAAATATGGATCGTGCTTCGGAGCTCATTGATTTGACTGTACAATATCAACACGACACGTTATTTTCATATCGTTCCTCATTGTGTTTTACTTTGCTGGATTTGATAGGTAAGTAATGCGTAAATTTTAATTTAAAAAGAAAAGGAAAAAGTTATCAATGCCGCCTATCAAATTTCCATTGAATTTCTTTTCTTAGTATCCTATGGAGGTATTGCAGGTTTGTTTTTGGGTTTCTCTCTGATTGGTGTAATTGAAGTGCTGCATGATTTTATCATTTTACGAAAATGTCGAAAAAAGGATGCAGAATCAGAAACATCGTCGGCATCGACCTCAGCAGTTGGCGAGGGCACAACAACTACTACTACCACCACTACATTAAATGCCGGTAAATGTAAATGTCAAACAATAAGATCTTACGATTAAGGACAAAGATGCTGGCTGTGTCAAAAGAAGGACTTGTGAAATCTGTAGGTTTTTTGTTAAACAAAATATGACTACCTGCATTTCGGACGAAAAAATCTAAAGAAAAATAGAAAAATAAAGAAACTGATTTATTGCCGCCATAATTAAGTGTAAAATCGTTTTAAGGCCTACATTTTTCGAGTTGTAAATCAATTCGGCAGTAATTAAATAGGGGTTTGTTCTTTTTTTCCCAAGCAGGTAAATTTTTGGAAAACAATGATTTTTAGGCACATACATTTACGGTAAGTTAGTATAAATATCAAACCCACTAGTAGTTGAAAGATAGTTCTTCTTGATCATTCGACAAGACAACAGCACCATGAAACTATTCGTTGTACTCTGTGCCATCTTCGTATTGGTAAGAAATACTAAAAAATATTTTCAGTGTTAAATAAAAAATATTAATTCGATTTGTTTATCTCCCAACAGAATGCCTCAGCCTATGTGGTGAAGAGTCGTGATGATTTGCTGCAATTCCGCAATGAATGTATCTCCGAATTGGAGATCTCCGAAAATCTTGTCGAACAATACAAGAAGTGGCAATATCCCAACGATTCCGTGACCCATTGTTATTTGAAATGTGTTTTCGTGAAGTTCGGATTCTTCGATACCACCAACGGTTTCAATGTTGAAAATATCCATCAACAATTGGTTGGTAGCCACGCTGAGGCTAATCATGATGATGCTGTCCATGCTAAAATCGAATCGTGCGTCGATAAGAATGAACAAGGTAGCAATGCCTGTGAATGGGCTTATCGTGGTGCCACTTGCTTTATTAAGAACAATTTGCAGTTGGTGCAACGCAGTGTTGCTCCCTCGGCTTAAGTGCATTTCGTTTTAATTGTATTTCTAACATGTAGGGTATATTTTCTTTTCGAATAATTTCCAAAATTGCAACTCATTATGTCACACACACATTTTTTTATAAATACATATCATAGTTTAAGGTTTAAATTTACAATAATAAAATACAAAATATTAAAAATCATGTTTAATCGAATTTTTTGATTATTAGTACTTAATGTGGAATAGTATATATTTTAGATACGCAGTTTCACTCCCAAGATAAAGGCAAATATATAATAAATCCTACTATCGACGCTACGCTGGATTTAACAACATATTTGGATTCACCTGTGAATCGGAATAATAAACCGCACCTTTATATTTGAGCTTTTTACAAAAATAGAACCTAATTTAACAACTGGACAAATCGCGTTCTATAATAATTTGATAATTACAATTAAAAAAAATATTACAATTTTTGATCCACCCTATTGAATTTTAATTTTTTTCTGCAGACTCGTAATTAATTTCCATGAAACCATTATATGCGATTTTAATTTGTTTTATAAACCCAATTATGACAAAAAATGGCATCTCTGGCCCATAGTGCGAAGTGATTTAAACAAACAGCTGAAACGACACAGAATAATAAGAGCAAAACCTTGTTAATATATTGATATTTTTGTGGGTGGTGTTCTAGAAGAAGTGAATTAGAACCCTTTCTTACATAAGAATTAGTAAAATATATGATAGGATTTATTCAAAACGGTGTTTCTTTTTAGGGGTATCGAGTGCATAAACCAACTAAACAGATGAATGGACATGATTTTGAATTTTGTCCAAGGCGCTCAGGGGTCTAAAATCCTTTATTTGGGGAAATTTGACAATATAAACTGGGAACCTAATCCAATAATTTTTGGTAAAGAACACCAATTGTTTGGGCCAGTTACAATATGTGGAAATAAGGCAATATAAAAAATTAAATTAAAATTAATATATATGGAAATAAGACAATATAATCCCAAAATTATGCTTTTTAGATAGAATGATGTCAATTTAATCGAATATATAGAAAGACAACATTCACTTTTCGGTCCAATATTTGATTAGCATAATCCTAGCTGTGTTCTTTAGACTTTTAAATAACTCACTACCCATAATAATTTTGTTTCGATTGATATTTTTTCGATAAAATCGATTTTGTTCTACTCAAACATACTGCAAAAATTAACGGTGTCCTTTAAGGGAACTAGGGCTTTATCCTAGTTCATACGAGAGCTATACACTCCCAGAGAAACATTGCAAAATTTGGAACCGATTGGATTATTAGTTTTTGAGTTATCGTGTCCGCCATTCGCAAAAAAAAATGTTTAGAGAAAAACGCGTTTAAAGTTTGAGAAGCCCTTCAGCCGTCACTTGATGCTGACACAATAAATCGGCTATATCTTCAAGAGTTCTTGAGATTTTCACTTGTAGAGACATTCTTTAATCAGTGTAGATTCGAATTATATCAACAAAAATTTTGACCCCTAGAAAGGGGGGGGGGTCCCCTTAAGGTAAATGGTGCACCAAACTCCTCATGTTTGTCCGATTGACACAATATTGTGTACAACATAAAAATTGGAGCATAGTATGACGTAAATGTGTGCATTTTCGACAGATTTCATGTTAATTGGTCTCCAAATAATAAACGGGTGTACGATTGTGATTTGCTTTTAATCGATTTACATAATTTTGTCACATTGTAAACAAACGACTCCATATCTGTATAAAGGAAAAGTTTAGTATAGTTTGCAAAATAAGCGTGAAAGCGTTTATGTTCGTTGGGGTAAAAAAAGCCCCTTTAAATTCGGCCGGACCGAACTTTTTATACCCTCATCATATACCTTATCATATGTATCGATGATAAAAAAATTTTCAGTTCAAAAATTAAAAACAAAAATCTGTAAAATCTACAATGTGTACAGTACACCTAACATTCCGAAAATCACCCTTAACGCTTTGCGGCCCAATGTTACCAACAGTCAACAAAATCTTTTAGAGCTTATATTTAATACACAGCTAGTCCATTTATATTTTTTGATGTATACGTGCCAAGATCTAATTATGGACGACCCTTATTTTTCAAAAGAAAAAATTTAAAAATTAAATTTTTTTGCCATGCTATATGTTTTCAAAATAAATAATATGGTAAACAAATTTGTACAGTAGCAATTTGTGTATACAGTCCAAATTATTAAAGGGAACTCGTCACTGGAACATCGGAATCCGAAAATTCCAACGGTGTTAGAAATAGTACATGTCTGGCTCACGTATGAACTAGGATTATTGACATCGCCTCCCTTAAAATAAAGAATGGGGAAGGTCCCCTCAAGTAATTTTTTGAAAATAATTAAAAAATTTTCATGTTCTGTATATAAATATGGACCGATATAACCGAAATTGACATTCTAGACCGAATCGATCTCCCGTTCCAAGTTATGTATCAATCGAACTAACGTACCACAACCCAATCTCAGGAAAGTAATTGTGAGAGTTTTATGTAAATCTTAATCAATGTTCATATATCATTTCGGCAACAAATCCTTAATACATTTTCGTAGTTTTTCCCCAAAAGTCTTGGTTTATAGAATATATAGATTATAGGGTAAGTGCACCAATAGTCGGCACTTAAAGAATTTTCGCTTTTTAAACGTTTCACGTTTCATCTTTTCCACGATATTGTATTTAGGTTCATATGTTTCGAAATTTTGTTTACTCCCCGATGGAATACAAATTTGTTTAATGAATTTGTATTAAAGTAGATTAAATTAATAATTATGTAAAATAATGCCTTTGTGCCAATAGTCGGCACTTTCTTCCAATTGTCGGCATGTTATGTTCCAATAGTCGGCATGTCGCATTTTACTTAAACAAAAATTATATATTTAATCGATTTTCTGTTATTTGCAATAATAAATTATTACTATGGGACGTTTCCATTCCAGTGTTGTATTGAAAAAGTTATATAAAATAATATTATTTATTAAAATATTACAATTATAAAACATGGTGCCGACTTTGGGAACCTGTTATCCAATTATCGGCATGTCTAAATAAGGCATTTCAGAGGTTAAAAAACAATGTCTTCCATTATGTAAAACCACTCAAAACTGATTTTTTATAAATTAATCGTTATTTATTTCTAAAATGTTCTCCTGTATATTCTTTATAATTACGAAGAAGATCCTTGTAAAAATATATTATTTGAAATTGACATGTGCACTATTTTTTTCTTTAGAAACATGAATTATCGCTAGTGTTGACAAACCTCATGGACAAAATGCCAAATTTTGATTGACTAAATGTACTTAGCTCGAATAAATTTTATACAGAGATAGGTTGCAGTGCTATTGAAGATTATTCAAGGTATTTTTTATTTTTAGTCATAGGATTTTTTAGTTATTTAAAGTTATATAAAACAGATGCCGACTATTGGTACATGCCGGAATTAGGTGAGTTTACCCTATTTGTACATGACTTAAATCTTACACTTTTTAATGTCAATGATTTTTGGGTGCGCAAATTTGCGATTATTTATTTTCCTGCCGACTATTGGTACATGCCGGAATTAGGTGCGTTTACCCTATTTGTACATGACTTAAATCTTACACTTTTTAATGTCAATGATTTTTGGGTGCGCAAATTTGCGATTATTTATTTTCCTCGTTTTCAGCAAACAATCAGTTTCAAATAACAAATATGCCACACTATTCAGAAATCACATATTAAATTATCCTATACATTTCATAACATCCATCTCTGCAAAACATACAAATGTAAACAAAAAGCAATTTGCATTACTCACCTTCTTGTACTAACTACCATCCCCAATACACCAAATGGCATTTCAATCAAAACAAATGACCGTTTGATAAACGACGAACGCCACAATGTTTAACACGACGATGCATCTCCAACCGAAATGAAATCGACACAACAACAATTATTGTTTCTCTCCCCATTCTCATAAGTGCCATCCAGATTCTTACTCTCCTCTTGTGGAGTCATACTCTCGATAGTAGCCACAACAAAAACAACAACCGATACATAACAAACGCACAATTAAAAGCAGAACAACAAGGAAAATATTTTTTATGATTTTATGGGAATTTCAAACAATTTTATTTATTTGTTTTAACTCTTTTTTTGACTATTTTGACATTTTATACATTGATAAACACATTTCTATATTTTTTAATATACATAATTACAATTTTCACGAGACGCGATCACTTGCGAAATATTTAACGCCACATTTAAAAGAAAGCACGGAAAGAACTAAGTCAAAACAAAAGTAAAGAGTTGCCGTGTTGCAATTAATTCGTGTGTCCAATGTAAGAAAAAAGTTAGAGTTGGCGTTACAAATGGTAACTTTGGGATGTCGAAGTGGGATTGGTCTACCATAAATATTTCCTTGGCGTTTAGGTTGACAAAATTGTCAATAATTGTTTATGCTGCGTTTTACTTCGATCCTTTTTAAATCGTTATTGAAGTTTAGATGGTTTAAAGTTTGAGATTCTCTCTTGACGTTACGTGATGTTTAGGGTATTTCCCGGGTAAATACCCATATGCAGGTATTTATTTGGGAATTTACTATATTAAAACGGTAACATTTTACACCCTATTTCCGGGTTTCAAATCTATTTAAAATGGATAGTTTTGCAATACTTTGAACACGTGGGTAATACCCGAGTATTTAGTAAAGGAAATTAGTAAAGTCGGTCCGTGCCGACTACGTGATAACCTTCACCACTTTTGCTATAACCAGTGTTGCCAATTTAGCACTTTTAGTGCTAGATTTAGCACTTTTTAAACTCGTTTAGCACCAAAAAAATTGATCTAGCACCTAGCACTTTTTTTTAGCATTTTTAATTTGTTCCAGGATTTTTTCAAAATTTTTAATATAACTTCAAAAAAATTTTCGTTTTTCGATTTTACATTGACACATTGAAGTTTTCGTATGTTTCACATGGTGGATTTGATTTTCCAATTTTTGTTTCCAGTGAGCA